GAAGGGGAAAGAGGCCCTCATACACCCCATCCCAAAACCCCCATGGGGAAGCTGAGGTTGGGCCCCTGTAGATCCATTTATTTTAGAAGGTACTTGGTTCTGAAGCATTTGTTTCAGAAATTACCCCCATGCCCCATCAATAGTAGCTTTCAACGGCTCTTCCCGGGTGGGCTTCTCTCTGTTCAATTTCATTTCCTGTTGGAAAGGATAAACAGGTAACTGTTTAATGCCACTGACTGGACTCATTTAACAGAAAAACAGGACCTGAGTGAGGCTGGGGGACCAGGGTGGGGTTGATGGGTGGAACGGAGCAGCTGGGGGAAGAGAAAGGCATTAAAGAACACCAACGGATGGGGCTTATTTCACTGCTCCTACATGTGAGGGAGCATGGCCCACAGGAGGAGGGGATAGGAATGCAGAGGAAGGAGTGTAATCAGCTGCCACTTTGAATGTGGATCCCTAGACTTGGACTGGAAGCCTTGGTCGGGATCCTGGCACTGCCCCTCACTGCTCGTGCCCTTCAGCCAACTCCTTCAAGCCTGATGAGCCTCAGTGGCCTGTCTGTTCTCCCATACAAGGTGGTATGAATTCGAATGATGCATGCAACATGCTTAGCCAGTGCCTCGCACATAGTAGGTATTCACTTGCAGAAGCTATGAATCAGCATAGCTGGGATAGGAACCCAAACAATTCAGCACCTTGTTTCCTACTACATACCAGACACTGTGTTGGGCAATAAGAGCATGAAAGAGCCCCTGGCTTTAAAAAGGCAGGCAAAATATAGATAATTTCAGTACAGTATGGTAAGGACTCTGATCAGGATAGACATGGGGTGATATGGTACCCCACATATGAAGTATTTGGAGGCACTGTTGATGGTCAATGGGATTGATAAAAAGGATTCATTCATTGTCTCTCCCTCTCTCTCTCTTTAGAATGCAAGTTCAGCAAAGCAGTGATGCTGCCTATCTTATTCAGCACTATGCCCATTAGGAGCACTAAGGGAATGCTTAAGGCGGCACTTAAGTAAGAAGGAGTTAGACCGGAGGAGAATGAGGTTTATCAAAGGCAATCCAGTCAGAAGAAACCACGTGAACAAAGGCGCAGAGACTAGAACTAGAATGATACATTTCGGGAATTAGAGGCAGGTTGTTAAAACAAATGGAGTAAAAAGTACTGGGGTAGGGATGATGTGAGAGGAGTCAGCAGGGTAAGACCACAGAGAACCTTGCTTCTCAAGCTAAGAAGCGTGGTGCTGATGTGGGTGAACGTTCATGTGTGCAACATTCATCCGGAGTGGAAAAGCTGTGGACATTGGCTGATTGAATCGGATCTAAAATCTCTAAAATATGCTCTCCCTACACGCCTGCCAAAGTACCTATGACTTTTGTTTTACTGTAAAGCCCAAAGTAATAATCATATTAACCGAAAACAGCTGTTACTTCTTACTCTCCAATTAATTTATCAGATTTGCTAGCCAGGTCAATTTTCACAACAACCAGATGAGGTAATTACTTTTATTATCTCATCTTACAAGCGAGGAGACCAAAGCACAGATAGGTAGAGTGGCTTGCTCAAAGTCACACAGAATTTAGGTAGTAGACACAGGATTCAAACTTAGTCACCTGGGCCCCAGAGTTCATTCCCTTAACCACCATGTTATCACAAATCTATCTTCCAGTTCACCATTTCTCTCTTCAGCTGAATGCATCCGCTGTTTGACCCATCTGAATGAGCTTCTAATTTCTATAACTCTGTTTTTCAGTTCTAGAATTTCTACTTGGTTCTTTTAAAATCTCTTCTTTTTATCATGTTAGCCTGTGCTTGCCCTATGGTTTCTATTTCCTCTTCACCATGAGACATTTTATTTATTTATTCTTCCCATGAAATATTTTAAACATATATTCTCTCCCAAATCGGTCTATTGTCTTTAGTTTTAAGGTATGAGCTTCTCTGTGTGTTTTGTCTACTGACTCTTGCCAAGGGTGGGCTTCTTTTATTCCTCTCCTGCACATACTATAATTTTTAAAGGCGAACTTAACATCAGTAGGAATCTGCTGTTGTTATTCAGTAGTTCTGATTTTTAAAATTTTGTTTTTGGTGGGAGCGCCACAGGCACTGCGATGTAGAGACATTTTGTGAGCTGCTTTTAGGTTGTCCCCTGTGAGGGTCTCAGAGTTTAATCAATTCCAGACCAAGTTTTTACATTCTCTTCTTGGTTTGTAGCTTGTGTACGATATGAGAAGAACACCAACCCCCAAGCCCCACATAACACAGGTTGGGGCCTGTATTTCCCCTGGGTGACCCCAACAGCCCAGGGTGGTTCACAGACTTCCACACCACACCCCAGTAGAACTGTCCTTCTTTCATGCTCGGTCTAGTCATTCCTCACTGACAGCCTAAGCAGCAAGTTTGTTTCCTATGACCTGTTCTCATCCCCATGAGATACTGAAATTCTAGCCCCCGAGAACCATACACATTTCCCGTATTTTTATAAAACCCTTTATTTAATTCCTTCTTGCTGATCATTGCTCTATCATGGAGCTTGTTCTTCTGGTACCTGGAGATTTCTCCTTTTTTGGGTGCCAGCCTGTCAGTGAATTTTTTTTCATTGTATCCTTCCACCAGCATCTCTGTGTAATTAGGGGGGAATGTCCCTTGACAGCCCAATTGACCAAAATGACCAGAAGGGTTTGATTATACATTTAGGTATCAGTCTTTCCCACCTGGCTCTGTGTTCAGGGAGGACGGAGACCTTTGTCTAATTCATCTTTCAATACTAATTTTTCAGACCATGCCCAGACCAGAGTAGGAAGCAAAAAAGATTTAATCAATGAATGACTTAATTAATTCACTGAGTTAATCAATGAATTAATCAGCTTTCTTTCTCATTCTAAATGGGAATGAAAGGCCGTATACTAATTTTCTTCTAGAGAAATATGACACCAAGAGTCTCTGGAAAGCCATCCACGTCCTCTGGAAGGCCACGCTGAACAAACAAAGTTTGGGGCCAGTCTTAGTCCAGCTTTTGAGCAAGTAGGTTCACAGCTATTGACACTACTTTCCTGAAGGGCACCCCCTGCTAATTACAGTGCTGGTCTGGTAGAAATTCAACGTCTGGCAGCCTCAGCTCTTGACTGGGGGTTCTGCTGCCTTTTTAGCATGTAACTGATGTCCTCTTATAGCCATAACTGGAACCTGATCAGCAATATGCAGTGTACAATGATATCATTTTTGCTGTTGGTGCCATAAGGAGCTTGCCAATTATGTTCACATTCTTGAAAACACCTAGCAAAGTGCTTGTCACAGAGTGGGCACTGAGTGGACATTTAGTGTGCTTGATGTCTTCTTTCACATCAAAAAAAATTCCTAAATATTTGTTGAAAATCTACTGCCTCCTGGGCATTGTGCCTGGTGCTGGACATGGAGAGGAATAACATAAAATTCATCCTAAATTAGAAAAAGAATGTCCAAAATAATGTTGACAAGAGAAAATTATTCTAAACTTCCTTTTATTTAAGGTGAAAGGATATCTCACGTCATCCCACCACCCTAAAATGCCTAATAAAGTATAAGCCTCAACATAACCTTGCCTATTACTGTTTTAGAAGGTTCTTTCTCTCCAGGGAGAAAACACAACTCTCAGTGAACACATGCACTGACAAAGAGAGCTGATTATAAAAGGCATCTGACATAAAGGACAATGATTTCTGAGCTTATATCACTACAATCCCAGAATCTAGAATCACACCTGAACTAAAGCAGAAACTCAGTAACTTTGTTGAATGTATTTGCACGTATATATACAGATGTGCCCATCCACGTATATGGCCTGAGATAAGTTGTGACTCATTATTCCACACATATTTATTGAGGATTTCCTATGAACAAGAGTCTGTTCTAGATTTTGTGATGGAGACAAAGACAAAGAACAAGAACGAAGTAGAAATCCTACTTACAAGGAACTTTCAGGCTTCAAAATGAGATAGACAGGTATATAAATCACCATGATATAACACAGAAAATGCTAAGAGAAGAAGAGGGGAAAGGGCTATGGAAGTTCCAAAGAAGGAAAGGCCCCTTCCTGCTGAGGGATTAGATAAGACTGTGGCTAATATAGAATTTGTTCTTGGTCTTGAAGGATAAGTAATTTGTGCAAGCAGAAGGGAGAGAATGGTTACTGGCAAGGAAAAAAGGGGTGATTCAGGTGGAAAGAATAGCTTAGGCAAAAGCAGGGAGGAAGAAAAGCACAGGGTATATACGAAGAAATAGAAATTTCGCCGGAGATGCATAAAGGGACATAATGGGGAGTAGAGGGAAACAAGCCTGGAAGGGTTGGATGAGCCAGCCTGCAGGGGCTTTGAATGCGTCCCAATTGACCATTCCAGGACACAGGATCTCTGTGGAGTAGCTGGTGCTTAGCATATGGCGGAGCTTAATTAATACTACAACAACTCCGTAGCAGGAACCTGTTCCCCACATGCACACAGGAAGCCGCCATCTGTACGCACAGGCAATTACAAACATTCCAAATACTCTGCTCTGAACCCTGCAAGCACATCAAATACTCACTGTAAAAGGTCACCCAGCCAACAGCTCTGATCAATCCTGGCTCAGGCAGAATCAAATCCCCTAAATAAGATCCACTAGATGCAATGTCAGGAAGGTCAGAAACAACCCTATTTCACATCTTGAAGCATTTTTACCATATGGAACATTTTAGAGGAAGAAGGAAAAGGAAAGGGGGGGGAGAAACCTCTCCAGAAATAATAGAATTCCAAGTAATTAAACGTTAAATAATCACAAAGTAAGCAAGGGATTTATTTTGCCCCTCCCCGACCCCCCGCCAAGGATCTAAGAAGCAGTTGATTTCAAAGAAGGCCGTGCCAGGATTAAAAATGGAGTCTCACGCCTCCTCCCCCCCACCTCCTCCCCCCCCCCTCCCCCCCCCCCCCCCCACCCCCCCCCCACCACCTCCCCTACGCATCACCATTGTGTACCTTTGTCGAGTTCACTTGAAATGTTCCACGATGAGGTAGGCACTAACTCAGCAGTGACTGACAGCTCTGTTTCTGGAAAGAAAAAGAAGGGAGGGGAGAAAGACAAGGGTGATATTAAATATATAAGTAACTTATGGGCTGTTAGAAGCATTACAGATTTCCAAAGGCCCTGCCTTCTGAGAGAGACCAGGGCAATCCCAGAGCTTTTAAGCTGGAATGGGGCTCTGCTCACCCAGCAGAGGTGCCTGCCTTACAGAGGCTATCCAGATGAACAATCTGTAGACCAGCTTGCAAGGCTGTTTTCTTTAAAACGTGGGCTTGAAAATTAAAATACAAATATTTCATGAACAAAAAAACCAAGTCTGCAGAAATGACCAAACATTATCAAACATAAACTTTTCTTTTTCTTATTAGAAGACCACTCCTAGACTAATATATTCAATAGTCTTTCCATGGAAAATGAGAGCCACATTGCTCTTGCTGATTTTATTTGTTGTATTCGTGAATTGATAGGATTTCTATTAATAGAGAAATCTATGTCTCTACATTGAAACTTATAGTCAAGACAAATGAAAGCTAAGTATTTGAACACAAGAGTCAACTGAGGTAACTAAACTTAAAAGGCAATTTTCAAAACCACCATAAATTTGGGGCCGCCTGGGTGAATCAGTCGGTTAAGCATCTGCCTTCTGCTCAGATCATGATTCCAGGATCCTGGGATGGAGCCCCACATTGGGTTCCCTGCTCAATGGGGAGTCTGCTTCTTTTTCTCCCTCTGCCCCTCGCCCTGCTCGTGCTCTCTCTCTCTCTTAAATAAATAAAATCTTAAAAAAAACCCACCATAAATTAAAGCAAATACACAAATCAACAATCTAAAGGGCACAATACACTATGAAGATTTAAAAACTCTTCAGTAATAGATTGTAATACACAAATGATGTTTTTGTGTTGTTTTTGAAATTTTAAGCCACGACACCATCTACTAGCACATTTTAATAGGGTTTCACTAATCTCCCCTTAGGCCATATCTACACACACACACACACACACACACACACACACAGAACTTTAGTTCTGAGCAGGATCTCAGAGAACTCAGAGCCTCTGACATTAGATATAGGGCACCAAGGGGCACCTGAGTGGCTCAGACTTTGGCTCAGGTCATGACCTCAGGGTCCTGGGATCCAGCCCCATGTTGGGCTCAGCACTTAGCGGGGAGTCTGCTTATCCCTCTCCCTCTGCCCCTTGCCCGGCTCGTGTTCTCTCTGTCTCTCTCAAAATAAATAAATAAAATCTTAAAAAAAAAAAGATATATGGCACCCATGCTGTCAATTCTCCTTCCTTCAATCTGGTACAGACATCATTATCAATTATGGCCCTTTTTGCCCTATTAAATCTGGGATCTGCCTTAGAGCCTTTTCAAAACAGTACTCTAGGTAGCCACTAAAAATGGTTCTGAAATGCAAAGTGAACTTTTTAGTGAGCGGAAGAATTGGGATTTAAATCCAGGTCTGTCTAATTGCCCACACAGCTCTAGTAGTTCATGTTATTTGGTACTCAAGTCTGTGAAACCTGATTTCTTTTTCATCTTACCTCTCTGGCTTCCCCTTTTTACCTAGATAAGCAGACTTTCTACCACTTCCTTATTTACTGATGGGGCTTGGCTGCCACTTGGCCACAGATGCCACACACCATAGTCAGTGAGCTTTGCCAAGAACAGGATGTTTACCCACTGAGACCTTGCAAAGGCCCACTTCTAGTTTGTCTACTGGGTCTCTGATCAACCTGTCACACACAGCAGAGACAAAAGGGTTGTTCGGTTTGTGCAGACCTTCTAGGTTTTCCTCTTTCCCTGTCCAAGAGCAGCTGGGAAAGAAAGAAAAACCACACACACCCTACCCAACCCAAATGGCCCCAGTCCCCTCCTATGTCCTGAGCTAAAAACAGCACAGATTCTTTTAAGGGGACCTGAAGCCAGATGGTAGGGCAGGAAGCTGAAAGCACATTAGATTCCAAAATATGAAATGAAAAAGAAAAAAGTATCCCAAGTAGGAAAAATGCTTAACCCAAAACCACAGTAGAAGGCAGTGCTTCTGCCTGGTATGAACCACTTGTCCTAGGAATGAGTATTTCGTGCAGGTGACTTCATGAGGAAGATCTAATTGTCTACACTCGGGGGCCCTCCATGAATGACTCCAACCACAGCTCCACTCTCACCCCAATCCTGTTGCCACCCACTTCGGCTCTTTGAATAATGGCCCCTTGTTTGCAGTATTATGGACAGCTGTGGTTCACCATATAAAAGGGCTCATCAAGCACTCCAATACCCGGACTTCAGGGAGCTTGGGAATGGAAACATGGCAGCCAAGGAAGCATTTTCAGCAAGGAAGCAAAAGGTGGGGAAGTGGTGGGATTAAGATCGACCTTGACAGTATTTATATTCAACATTTTCATAGCTTCATCTTACTGCTGCTCACAGTTAAACTGCCAGAAACACAGGTTTCATTTTACAGTATTAATTTTATAGAAAGTTAGCTCTATGTCACTTGGTTTTTCTAACCTGAGTTTGAATTGCTGATTGAATATAATTTGGGACCGATGACAAATGAATAGATTCTTGGCACTGCTAACAGTAAAACTGTTCCCCATGTGTCCCTGGACACTAATTGCTACTCCGCTCTTGGACTGTGGCAAAGATCATTTCAATTCACAAGCTTAAGTGATTGTGATGATTCTGAGGAATTTTGTTCGCAGCCTCAAGATCTATTCCTTTAGATAACTACATGTTCAGCTTTTCAGATAAAATGATAATAAAAACATAAAATATCTTAAAATATGAATAATCTCCCTGAAAAATATTATCTTCCACATTTTTTAAAAGAAAGGCTGATTATTTTCTGTGAAAAGTTAAGTAATGGTAATTCCCCGTCACAAAAAATGATGTTAATAAGCTTCCCCTCCCCCAAAAGGAAGGTTGACCTTTACATGAGAAAAATTCAGTACTTCTCAACTTGCGCTCCATGGAGTCCAAGGTCAGTAGCAGCTTTAGAGAGAGACACAACCACCAGCCTTGACCACGTAGGATCTCCACTGATGGATTCAGCTTCTTTCCTACGTCCTCATCATGGCAAACGGATGAGATATTTCCAAGTACATTTAATACCTGACTAGCAACATCTCTTTGTGTAAAATCATTGTGGTAAGAGCAAACTGGTATGTGCCGATTAGGAGATAGTAGAATATTTAATGGAAACACACACCTCGATTAAAATACTAATTTTATGATCATGAGCAAGTTACTTAACAACTTTTGACTTCTATTTTCTCATCTGTAAAATGGAGACAATAAAAGACACCTCCCAGCACTGTGGCAAGGATTACATTAGATTACGGTCCAAAGGGGTCCTGCATACTGTCCAGGACAGTGTGGACACTTGAGATCTTCTGTGCCTTCCTCTCTGTCTAGTAAGGCAGATAATAACCACCCTCTAGGCAGACATACTCCTGTTAGCTGCTATGTCACTGTCTAGGTTTGAAATAACACATTCTCTCTCTTTTAGGAAAGACTCTGTATTTCTCATGCCTTACTAATCTAAGCCAATCTTTTCATTTTTGTGAGGTTTTCCCGAATTGGTCACCAGTTCTCTTAAGAACATAAGTGCTTTTATGTACTTTTATCTAACTTAGGCAAATCAAGTGTGTTTTAGAAAACTCCAGCCCTTATCTTCCCTGACCTCTGCAGGAGGGCAAACCATTCTTCTCCCGATTTGATCAATAGGAGCTATTATCTTTGCAGTTTCACTGATGATTGACTTCTTGGCACTGATTCTGCAAACCATAAGGTTTTGGTATTTAAGCCTGAACAGTGGGAGTGTTATTTGGAGGAAAGGAAAAAAAAAAATAAGCCTTGAATCCTCCTCATTGATAAAAGCCTGTGCTCTCTGAAAGGATTACTGGTTCATCTCAGCGGTTGGCAGGTAGAGACCCAACGTTCACAGGATGTAGAAGCTCTTTCAAGAAGCACCCAGCCATGCCACATCCTGTATCCTGATGCAGGGATACGTGAGGTTACACAGACACAAACCAGCATATCAGGAGACTAGTGGCCAGCCCAGTTGTCACAAGGGCCAAGTATGAAGGAATAAATGGCTACCCCAGTGCCCTTCTTGACCGGAGCCACTGAGTCCCAGAATGTTGTATCCGGGTGTGCCCTAGAGATACTCTGTTTTTTGCACTCACCGGATTTTGTGGGGGTATCTTTATAGAGGAACATTAGAGGCTTTAGGGGGAGAGACGAGAGGAGGACAAGGCTCTAGACCCTCCTTCAACAGGAACAATCTTCCATGTCTCTGTTTTACCTACCAGATATTGTGGAAAAGGATCTGATGCTTTAAACAAAAACAAAACACGCATCGGGCTCCCTGCTCCGCAGGGAGCCTGCTTCTCCCTCTCCCACTCCCCCTGCTTGTGTTCCCTCTCTCGCTGTCTCTCTCTCTGTCAAATAAATAAATAAAATCTTAAAAAAATAAAATAAAATAAAAAACAAAAACAAAACAGCAACAACAACAACTTAAGCCTCTAATATGGTACAGTCTCATTTTACAGATGAAGAAAGTGAGGCCCACAGCAGTCAAGTGACTTGGCAAAAATCACAGAAGTTCTACATAGAGCCAGGCCTTAGAAATGGCTTAGAAAGAAAGGCATTGCTGCCTTCTCTCTGTGCTCCATTGTCTTCTGTCTGTGCCCCTAAGATGTGATATGTATCCTTAGAAGTTGAGTGCAGAGAGACACACAGGGCATTTTCAAACCGCCAGAGTCAGTCACACTTTCTTCTCTGTCATGGTCACTGGGGACCAGGGGAGGGTGGGAAGGAGGTAGGCATGCTGATGGCTTCAAGTTCTCTGCTATGCAGTGTTATTCTAGATATTATGTGGTGATGGCTCTCAGCCATGGTTCCTTCCTGTCTCCAGTGCTTCAGTGGAGGAGAAGCCCCTAGCCATAAGTGACCTTTACCCACAAATTACCTTCACCAAGAGTACCTGTTTGGGAAAGTAACAGTCAGGCAGGGTACATTCCCTAACAGTGCAAGGGGGTCAGTCAGCCAGGGCATTGCCCCAGCTCTGGGTTCACAATCACCCCGCATTTGGGATCCTGAATGAGGGGCCCCTCCACTCTGGGAATTTAACTTACTGAGGAGAGAGGGAAGTTAGAGCCTTTCTCACCCCATGTGAGATAGTCAGGACTGGAGAATTACTAGGCTCACTGTCCGCTACGACCTTATAATCCTCAGTGACCTCAAATTCGGATTTCTGATTAATCTTTAAGTGAAGTTATCAGTACAGTCACAGAGAGGAGAGAGGGCACAATCCTGCCGCCTTAACCCCCCTGCTCCACTCCCGACCACACTACCTACACTGCACTATGAAATCATATTTTTTTTAAAGCCTGTAATGACTCTGTAAATAGCATAATTACTATGCAGGTGGCCAAGCCATTAATTTGTTGAAGAAAAAATTTAAATATACCAAAATTTGTGGTATTATTCATATTTTTACAGAGGGAATTGTAAAAAAAAAAAAAAAGTTGTCCAGGTTTTCTTAATATGTGAGGGGCTCAGAGATCTTGTCAACAAGTCCATAGTCAGGTACCATGGCTATCTCTGTTCTAAGATTGAAGAACCTGAGGCAGACATATTAAGGCACTTGTCTACTCAGCTTGTTGGGAGAGGGGTGGGAATTCTGATCAATCTGGGCAGGGCAGTCTGACAGCAGAACCAGAGTGTCTCCAACTGTGTCAAAATCAGGGGGCAGGGGGATGCTGAAAGGTGTATCCACTTCTCTCTCGCTTAGGCCCCCTTCAGCCCCAGAAGATCCCTGTGAATTCTAAGCTCTGTAGAATATAGTTTGAGAACCGGTACCTGAGACCACACACCTCCTCCCTATCAATGCCTGGTTTCCTAATTCTAAAATCCAAAAAGGATAGTGAGGGACACAAAGGGAGGGGAGGAAATGCTTCTTGAATCACCCTTAAATGCCTTGTTTTTCTTTGGACATACTATTTCCTTCTTTAAATCTGCTAAATTAATATTATAGATCACATGCACTTCTTGTATTTAAAGGAATTATGCTACACAAAGCACCATAATAACACACGTCCTTTAAAGTCAATAAAAATAATCTTCAGAACTACCTTACTTAAAAACTATCAGACTTGGGCTCTCTTCCATGGAACTCTAGAGAGTCACTCACTCACTCACTCACTCATTCGTTCATTCAACATACATGTGTATTAGCACTTTCTATGTATAAGAACTGGGATGAAAAAGCTTGTCCTGGTCCCTGATATTTTCAAGAACTCTCAGTCCACTGGGAGAGTACAGAAACACAATTATAAACAGCATGTTACGGTAACAATAGAAACTGACAGAAATAGCCTCCCTGTCCCATGAGTCATTCCTTTCACTTCACCCCAACCAGACTAAAAACACCAAGAGTACTGAAAAAATATCACAAAACAATATACAATGCATAGCTGAGATTGAAAGGAAAGAAATTCTCAGGTGCCAAAAAGGAAGAGAACAGTAAGTAGAAGCTGATGTGGAAGGTGCCTTATAAATATAGACCCTCTGGGTTGGAGGCTCAGTTTCAATGCTCACTTGAAAACCAAAGATGTGGCCAGAGAGAGATCTGAGTTCTTGCTTAAAGCCTTTACTAGAGACTGGGAGAACATCCCCATCTGGGGGAAGGAGCTGAAAAACATTTCCTCCAACGGCCCAGAGAAGCTGCTAGATCCTTATAGTCTAGGAATCAGGAAGGGCTGGAAGGCATATCTCTTTAAGAAATCAAAAGGGTGTGTAAAGACCGGAGTAGTCCAATGTATACTTCACCCAGTTTCTCTCCATGATTACAGATTACATAATCATGGTACAGCATCAAAATGAGGAATTTGACATTGTTACTGAGCATATGTCAAGTTCTATGTCATTTTATCATGTGTAGATTCATATAACCACCTCTGTAATCAAGATCTTTATCTTGTCATCACCACCAAGATCTCCCTCATGTTACCCCTTTATTGTCACACCCATCACCCTCTTCCCAACCATTCCTAACACTTGACACTCCCTAATCTGTTCTCCATCTCTATAATTTTGTTGTTTTAAGAATGATATATAAATAGACCCCTACAATGCCCTTGGGACCCAGCCAATTTGCCGCACGTATCAATGGTTTATTCTTTCTCATTGCTGAATAGTATTCCATAGTATGGATGTACCACACTTTGTTTAACCACTGACCTTGGACGTTTGGTTGTTTCCATTTTCTGGCTATGAAAAATAAAACTGTTATAAATCCACTCACAGCCTTTTGTGCTAAATTCTCTATTTCAGTAAAAAGGAAGCTGAATCTAGAAGGAAGGAGTTGTATGCGAGAAGCAATAATAAGCAAATAAACTAGAAAATGTGTTGAAAATGTTAAATAAGCCTTGATTCTAAAAATAAATATGTGATTCGAAGTACAACAGCCGCAAACAGAAGGTTCCAAGGCAGCAATGAGGAAGAGTACATCCTCCAGTTTGGGGGAGGGGGAACGCAAAAGATCAGGGAGTGGCAAAGACTCTCCCACTCTCAGAGGAGGTCCAGGTATTAGAAATAGCACTGCAGCAAATAACTCAGTAATGGTTCACACTCAATTACATAGTATCACACTTTTTCCAACAAGGAAACAAATAGTAATTTCAAAATCCACAGGCTTCTAGTTGTTTCTGGTTTTGTTTTTTTTTTTTCTTAAAGACAAAAAAGCAATATCCCAGCTAATTACTGAGCAGGCAGGATCTTCTTAGGGACAACGCAAAGTCCTAAGAGAAATTTCAAAATGGCTCAAACCTTGATCTTCCCCCAAGAAGAAGCTGAAATGAATGGATCCCCACAGTTATCACTCCCTCACTAGACTCAAAGGATGCTTCCTGGAACAAAAGAATTAGTTTATTCCGGCTTCAGAACAAGCTGGCAAAGACAGAGTA